GCTTATTTACTTACTCGATAGTCTTAATTAAAAATTCTTTTTAAAAAGATCGAAATTTTAAATAACGTTAACGTAAATTTCTAAAATCTAAAGAGATAGAACTTATTATAAGATCTTTAAAAAATAAATTTCTAAGTTTTATTATAATCGAATAAGTCTTAATATTATAATATAAATTTAAATACGTTAGCTATAGAAATTCTACGTAAATATAAACTAATTAAGCGAAAATTCTATTATAATCTTATAAAAGTTAATTTTTATTAGAATTAAATCTTAAAGTAATACTTTCTCTATTAAAAGAGTATATTTAATTAAAATCTAGTCTATTAAATTTATTATTAAAAAGAAATTTATTTAAGAAATTTAATTATTTTCTATTATTATTTTCTAATATCTTATCGAATATAGCTTAGTTTAATAAAAAGAGAATTCTATTTATTAAATTCGTTATTATATAGAGATTTTAAAATTTCGATATACTTAATTTTTTTAAATTTTTATTTATTTTTAATATATGATTTAAAAATAAATAGAAGAAAGATAAGAATAAAAATTAATAAAAAGATTTAGATCTTCGCGTAAGAGTTATAAATAATAATAAAAGAATATTAATAAATATTCTTTCTTTATCTTTATCGAGTTTAAAAATAAAGATTACTAGTCGAAAAGATATAGAATTTTTTTAAACTTAAAGTTTTTTAACTTTTACTTCTTTTCTTTAAAAATTTATATCTTTATAATCTATTTATAGAATCTTATAGTTCTTAAAGCTCTATAGCGAGACTAGTCTATTTTATACGAGACGATTTTAAAATACGATAATTTTTATATAAAATATCGAGTAGAATTAGAAATATTCTATATCTTTTAAGATAATATCTCGAAAATTACTTAAATTCCATATTAAATATTATATCTTTTCGACTATTATAATCTAGATTTATTTATATAGAGCTAAGTTTTAAATATAATAATATATCTTTTATACTAGTATAAAATATTTTTAATAGTATTATTAATATATATATTTAAATATCTATTAAATTTATTAAGATAATAATAATTTATATATAAAATCGATACTTATATCTTTAATTATATCTTTATCTAAATGTTATATATAAGTAACGTCGTTAAGTATATAATTCTAAATCATAGATAATTAAATATTCGATTTCGAAACCGCTGACTGCTGTAGATACTCGCAACATCACTTCAGATAGCGGCAGCAGTGACGTCGTTTACTGTGGTCTTTGTGATAGCCGGGTAGTTCAGAGCGCGTGTTATTCAAAAAATCTGGCGCGATGGTATCTGCTGAGCGAACGTCTTAGCCAGCTCCGAGATTCTCCCTGAGTCTGCGCACATGAACTTCTTGGATGGCGATTGAAGTATCACTGTTAGTAACTGTGGGACCTCTGCTAAGCAAAGTAAGCAAGTGCTTCTGACATTCCTCAAAATCATTGAGAAGCCCGTTGGTCTCTTTTTTTCTGCTGACGCAGGGGGTAAAGATCATGGCACGGCTGACAGCTGTTGGTCAACGCAGGAATTAATATCCGTCAGTGCTCTCCAATCGGTGCTTCCTGGTAGAAGCTACTTTTCGATTCGGCCGAGGATTCTGGCAAAGGCGAGCTGAATCCAAAACTGAGTGAAGTTCATGTATTCCTAGTCATTACGTAAGTCAATGTAACACACCTTCGTTCAGGTGTTGGTTATCGTGGTTGCATCAATCCTTGCCTCGTCATTGACTGCATTATCGCCACTTCTTGTATGCCTGCACACCCACCCGCTTGAAATATGACTAAGTAAACTTCTGTTGAGTTCATCTCAGAGTCGGCCTCAATGACTTTCGTGCAGGTCTAGGCCGTGCTACGGTGATTTGATGGCATGAGGAGCCGTGAGCTGCACCCAGAGTAGTGTTCTGCGACACCATGGAATTTCAGCTTCCGCGATTAGACCGCCTGTTGACCGACGCCCGCCAGTTTTTACTTGTCCTTAATTCACCAAGACTGTACTTGCACGAGCCTGGCCCGGGTCCGAAAGTGCAGCATCCTACTGGATGATTTAAGCGCCCCCCCGAGTAGAAATAAAATATGTGCACACACCCTTTCGGCGATCCTTCAGTGATCAGAAGGACAGTGTGGGAAGACAATCTTCTAGGTCTGCTGCTGCACGTTTATTCAAAGCCACCTGAGATCAATTAGATTCATCCTGAATGGCTACTTTGGTTGCAACTGGCGGTCGCAGCCCGGTCTCTGGCAGTGCATATCCACCCCAGGGTAAGCGCTGCCTGCACAAGCATAGCAATCATCATTTAAGGCTTCACAATGCTGGATTGTGGTATCTTTTGGCCGCTTCACTGCTTATGCGCGCTTCAACTTGGTATGGCAGTCTCTCCGATATGTGGTTTGACATCCAAATGAAGACTTTTATTGTAGCTCTCTGATCATTCCCGGTCCGCAAAAAGGAACCACTTGACCTAGTCAAAGATCTAAGTCGACACACGGACGGATTGAACAGCTTTGTTGAGGTTGCATTATCTCCAAGCGGTGAGCTGTCACACTTAACCTCTGCTTCTCTTTCTAGTATTGATCAGTAATAGTGGTGTCCAAGAAACCTTAGAGTACCGTCTAGTCTTTCCTCATGTTAGATGAGTCTATTCCTCCAGCTACTCTAATGAGTACTCCTCCTTATAGAGTCCGAGCTTTCCCGGCCCACGTGTTCTAAGTCGCAGGTTCGAGAACGGACTTTTAGGTTGCTCCCCACTTCGGGACAGCATTTTAGGCTGCTTACTGTACCCGGCTTACTCACCGAGCATCTCCGAAATCGATGTCTCGCACGATTTTTCAGGGACTTCCCCACAGGAAAGGCACATGCCGTCCCCACATTTCTAACATAATCTCCGAGCGTGATCGCCTCTGTCAGCTTAATAGGTCCTCTTTTGGGCTGTTCCCACACCCTTACATCCACATTATGTGTGTCTAGGCCCTTGTATCCCTGGTGTGTAAGAGCGGTAAGTTGTAGGATTGGTGCTTCCAGATCTGTTCGGCAGGCATCCGCATGCAGAAATGAATCCGGAACTCTGAGATGTGAGACCATCCACTACATCCGGTCTAAGACAGTAATGTCCGAAGCTCGCCAGTTTTTCATTTTCCCTCAACCACTCAGGTCTAGATTCTATGTCTAGGAAATGATGAGGAAACCGCAGACTGACATAAAAGCATCATACCCGCTCACTTTACACAGCAACACAGACAACTTTCACTTACATATAATCTCCAAAAAGTATCATCGAACACTTTTCGATCAAACGACCTCTCATCAACATGAAGCTCACTCTTCTCTCCATCCTGGCTGCCTTCAGCGTCACCACAGCCAATGCCGCGGTCACACTTCCGTGAGTACATTTCAAGTCTTCATTACCTTTTCTCCCCACAGCCTCGAGACATACTCGAATCGCTGAACGTCTCTCAATCTTTGCTTCTTGCAATCAAGGAACAAGGCTAACTCTCCGTAGTTCCACAGTGACCGTGACTTTGACTGAGCCCACCGCTGCCCCTGTCACCATTACGCCACCCACTCTTCCCCCTGTGACGGCCACGATCACCATTCCGACAGTAAGCGTCATTACTGTCTCAATATGCACTGCTAGCATCCCAACTGTGACCGAGACTGTGACGTGAGTAGCGCTACATTCTGATCCAAAACCCCTCTACGCTTCCGTGTAGTGTTGCTGACGTGAGGCGATTAGGCTTTAATTGGCGGCGCACTGGACTGCTTGGAGTCTGCGATTGCTCAGTAGTAGCAGTTGGGGCCAGGAGATCACCCAGAGGAGCCTGTGGGGAGGAATTAATTATTCTAGTCTATTCAACATCAGACCTCAGAATACTAGTCAATAAAAACGCAATTTTTCACGGCGTACAATACTTTCGACCCGTTTGTCAAAGTACAATCCACGCGCTACGGTGTCATCGTTAATTCGTGCGAGTCTTCCAGATCATACTCCGTAGTAAATGTATTGCGAGTTTTTCCTTTGTCTCCGAAGACACTCCTGTGTTCTCTCTCGTGCCCCGAGCTCCTCGACAAACTGAACCTCCGCCCCTTCTCCTGTCTTTTTTTCCGTCACGGAATAACTTATACCTGTAGCGCAAGGCAGTAGACGCTCCTCGAAAGCACTTCATAGGAAACAAATGTATAACTCTAGAGCCCAGTTCTTCAGTCAAGGAAATGATATCAGCAGGACGAGTGCGGCATTTCTGTAGTGGGCGTCGATAAAAATGCCATTGCGACCCTGTACTCCCTCACTAAAGTTGAGGCTGACTACATGCATCTTGGCCGCAACAGAGGAGTTTAGGCACGTCCTCCATTTCAATTTGAAGCTTGCAACGGATGTGCGAAGTCTCAGATAAGCGGAGATACTCCCAACAATGTTAGAGTACAGATTTGACAGGCTCCGGATACTCAAAAGGAGTTTAGCGACAGTGGTCGACGGAAGAGATGCAGGGGACGCACAGATTATTCTGGCGAATCGGGGTTATTGAGAGGCCCGGAAGGAAAGAACGAGAAGGACGATGCGATCGGCGGAAGACGGAAATGTCCACATCGCCTCCACACCTATCGAGCCGTCACTCATCTAGGCTACAACCACAATATTGGTGACTCTCACAAGATTAAGATCGTCTTCGAGCACGACTTCAAGGATCTTTTTGGTCGTTGGCTCAGCCCACCGAGCGACGAATACCTGGTATCGCCTCGGGATGACTGATAAGGTTACGGGGACTAGTTGTCAAGATCGTACCAAGTAGAGCTGGCAGATGATCTAAGTGGAAAGATTCGTAATCGGGAAGCTGTAGCGTATTCGTCGGAAAGGTTACAATAGATAGAGGAACAAGGACGGTTTAAGAGCTGTTGTAGGTGAGTCAAAATCACAGCTGGAGTTGGAGCTGACAATGATGTCAGAATTGAAGACAATCGGCACGCATTGCATGTTTTGAACTACCTCAGGATTCAAGCTGGATATTTTGAATCTCGTTGTCCATCTCTCCTTCATCCTGTGACCCATTCTCCCTTGCTGCATTCTCCTGCTTGGCCTCCATATATGCATTGTGCTGCGTTAAGAAGTTCTGCAAGTTCTCATCCTCTCTCTTTATCTCCTTCTCAGGGAAAATGCGACCAGGTTCGGGGCGGACTCCTGAATTGTAAAAAGATCAGCAACTTTCATTTGGGGAGAGATGGGGAAGGATCTAACTACTACTCAAATCACGGCCAACAAAGTCCCATGCGCTTCCATTGCTCTTGTAATGGTCCAAGGTTTTCTCCATCTCCTCTTTGGCCCCAGCCGCATCTCAAGTCGCTTGAGAGCGGAGCGAAGCACCTCCATGTCATGTTCTCTAATTTTGACCCCACATGCCATCGCGTATGCACCAAGATACACTGCGTACTTATCCGAGTTCTCAGAGAATGGTTCGCCCATCTCGCTCTCGTAGTGCATCAAGATCTGTGAAAGAATCCGTTGTTGAACTTGTCCAGGACATATTGGCGGCTGACTGGAGAGCGGATGTCGAGCTTTAGGTCGCCAGTCATCACGATGGATTGTGCGTAAAGCAAGAGAGAGATCGTATTTGCTGCTCTCGTAAGAGTTAAAGATACAGGAAGACATCTTAAGTGATGGTTCGCTGATTGGAAAGACCGCGGAAGAGAGTCAGCAATATCGTTTGGGTGAAGTGGGCCAGAGATCCATACTTGCAGCGTATGGTAGTGTATCGTCGACGGATGTAGAGTCCAAGTTTAGAGATACTAGTAATGTTCATGAGGTCTTTGGAGAAGTTGGATTATGGATGCTCTTGGGTTCACAAACTAGGAATTGTCAGATCTGTTTCACACCGTGTTGTCGCCCATCCTATAACTTTCTGCCATTTCAGTTGACGCCTAGAAACTTAAGGCCAATAGGATGAGCTGTGACTAGGTGGGGGCAAAAAGGAAAGTCCAATCGGAGTTAGGTCTCCGACTCCTCATTTGGGCGAAGGCTCTTCTTCATTTTATTTGGTAGCTTCTTCTAAAACGCTTCGCCGCAGCAAGTGACGACTGGAAAGCTGGAAGCCAATGAAGTGAGTTGTGATACGATGAGAAATGTCCAGATTTCGGTCGGAATCGGTTCCTTTACTGCTCACGCGCCCCAAATTTATGGTTAACACTTTGGCAAAGGGCGCTAATTCTGTTTCACTTTGCGGTGTCCACTCTCATTAGTCCTGATCTTGAGGCCAAAGTTCCTTGCTTTATCGGCGTTTACAGTATCCTTGGCCCTCTCTCCCAGGCAGTGCGTTCCAAGAGGGCGGCCCACGCCACCTCTTCTTTCCTTTGAGGAAACCCATCTCAAGCCGCCTTTTTCATCGTTTTTACGGCGCTTCCGTTCTAGTGTGCTCTCGTATTTCCGTTCTTGTGTGCGTATATTAGCGCCCGACAGACACCAAACACCCACTAGTAGGTTGCCATGTATAGTACATGTTATCTCGCACTGCCTGCTTGTCAAGCGATCGGCTTCGCACCGCTTGAGGAATCTTCTGCATAGCACAAGGATCGACATGTTCAATTCCGTCCTTTGCTATTAGCCTTACACAACCTACGCTTACCAGGCGTATTTCGTATCAGCAAATCCCCAACGGTCGATTCCGTGGCGTCTTGATAGATAGATTCGCAGTGCTGCCGACGTGTGAATCTTCCGTTTCCTTGGTCTTGCTCTTGTTTCTTCGCCCCGTCGGGTGAGGAAACCCGGTAGTCCAATCGAGTGAGGACAGTTTCACCCCGAGAAGACCTTGCCTGATATGTGAGTCGTCCGCCTCTATCTTTTCATGCACAGAACCTGTCTCACCCGCAAGCTTGACCGAACCCAGTCCTACACCGAAGGCAGAGCATCCATGGCCCAGTAACTATCGGCTTTTTGCTTCTCTCCAGCTTTGCAATTTGCATTGCAATCTGCATTGACAGACCCTTTCTATCTGATGGAAGTTTCAATTACATCCCTGGGTTGTAGCTACATCAACTTGCCATTGCTCAGAATGCAATTGAACTACTTCGACTCGTATCTGTTCAACGCTGTGCTTAAAGTTCCTTTTCGTCTTCACTGTCCCACATCAACTGCATATCATGCGAATTAGATACTCATTCTCCATTCCAACCGTCTGCTGCAACATGACGAGCTCTGAGCGTCTCTATCTTCGGCCAATTCTTTTCATGGCGGCCCGTAGCAGCCGTGAGTGACATATCTCTCTCAGTCTTCAACGACGCGTCTTGTACAGACGTCACTATCTAGTGCGAAGTCTTCATCTTCAGTTCGTAATATCCTATTGTCGTCATGTATCCTCGTGGGAAGAACGATGCTGGCTGGCCAATCGTTGAACACCACTTCAACCTGCAACATTTACCTCAATCATGTGACTAGCCCGACAGACCTAGCTCACGTAAAGGCTGGGATGGAACGCTGGGGTTAAGCTTGGGAGATTCACAAGTTTAGATAGATTTTGAAGGTTACTGGACATGCCACTAATTCAAAGATGTGTCTGAGGATGATGTGCAGAGGAATACTTCCGCTCTCAAGTCCTTCTCCAGCTTGACTCACTTCTTTGAGGCGCTGTAATGGTACGACAGATAGTCCCAAAGACGCCCCACCGACGCTCTTCCGCCTACAATAGCCTCTCCAGGTCATCAACGATTGTTCGAGATCTATGAACGACGCTGCCGCTACTCGTAACTCGATGATTTCGATGCCGAGAATCCTGGCTTTAGCCTTGGCGGATACCTTACCTAAGGTGGACATGCGCTCATTTTCATTTGTGGTCATTATTACCTAGCAGTAGACAAAAATCCCGAGTTTAAGTGCCACCGCAGGCTGGAGACATTTTCACCTTAGATTATGTACTGAAAAGGATGTGTTCTTCGAAAGAGGAGCAGTCCTGAATCTTCTTTTCTCTAATTCTCCCGCGAATGACTGCCCAAATGAACAATTTCATTGCATCGTAATCCTGTCACCACCATTCAAAACCCTTCCAACACCATCAACAGCGTGGTAAGACTTCGACATAATATGTTCAGACACAGATACGAGCACGTTTTCGGAAGCCAAAGCATTCCTCAGCTCGCAATTCTCTAGTCAAGTTAAGAGCGGAACCAAGGAATATTACGACATTGGTGCAACCAATGCGATACCCAGGGGCAGGTTCTAGACTTTGAATAGCAGTTTTCCGACCATAGAGACCAACCTCGCCCCTTTCCCACATCAACACTTCGATTCCAGTCAAAGCTGATCATTCCACCTTATTTCCAGCAAGTCTCTATAGCTGGTGATTTTTTTTAACCCACTAACTGCAGTTGCCATTCAGGGTTACTGCTTAGTTCGCGGCAGCTGGGCGAGAAGGGGCTTTCTGATCACCTGCCAGACTTTGGAAATGCCTAACGCACAGCGTAGCCGGGTCCAATCTTGTCGGAAATCTTGTGCCCGACCCAGGTGGTGCAGGCCTGTGGAACGCGTAGCTACATGATGAAGTGGGTTCAAAAAAGCAAGAATGGCGAAAACCAGTCCGACGTTTGAGTATGATTGTTCACACTTACACATCAAAGCAAGACAGTATCCGAATGCGACTAACCTCTTTCATAGATTGTTTGCACATGTTACCTGAAGCTTTCTGCGGATGATAATTCGACTCTCGTGAGTGGAAGGGTTATTCTTTGAACACAGTATCGTGGCAGGGCATTCAGATGTTGCGATATTAAATTTGTCTCCATGGGTTGTGTTAGATGACATCCAGACTGTATTCGCAAAATCACCAAGACAATTCGAGAGTAGCGACTCAAATTTACGCAACCGAAGTCGGACTCTTCTGTACGGTCTCGCTCCCAGTCGAATGTCCTAGGAGATTTGCCTTATCATCACACAACCGTGCCATGTGAATGTCTTTTGAGGAGAGACCTCGGGGCTCATGTGTCGTCCAGTGATAGAACACGGATTTGTAGCTCTGAGGGGAGGCAGTAAGTCTGTTGAATTTCTAGTAAATTGAGCTGAGATAGGTCTTACATTCCTAAGGTCAGGGTGGTGATTGTACAGTTTGGTTTCTACCCCGATGAGAAGTATGAAGTCCTGCACGAGTTTGAGCTAAAAAGCACGATGATGAAGGGAACAACTGACCAAGGCTTTAGCATAAGTGGGGAAGTTGAAGGTCTTTTCAAGACCCTGCTGAGTCTCGTCCAGCGCCCACTTAGATTCAAGAAGAGCAGCGGTCTCTGCCATCAGCCGGTTCCCATCCTCGCCATCTGAAAATCTAGGCTGCACTATACCTGCCATGCTAGAGAAGTGTACTTGAAAGTTGGGGGGTTGTTTGATGCGACGAGCAATCAAATGCAACGCTTGGAATCTCATGAGTAGCCAATTTCGGTCGAGGTTTTTATGTTGTTTTGTATTCACTATTGAATGTTTTGAGGGTGGCAGAGTAGCAGACACGATATGTTCAGTTTATTACAGGAACATGTTGCAAAGTTGGAAGAGGACGAGTCTAAGGGAAGGGTATGACGAAATTTCGACCCGGAAAAAAGGTTTTTCCGACCTATCACTACCACCAACCCTTCCGAATAGAGTCTGAGTACTGAGACTAGAGGACGAGGGTCAAGGGCGATTGTGACGTACGCCAAGGCTTCTGCATTAGTGATCTACAGAGGTACTTTAGTCGAGCATCATGAAATGGCAAGTGGCGAGAAGGTTCCTCTATTCGTCTCATGATACAAGCGGTTGGGAAAATCTGTCGCTTCGCAACGGGTCAAAAGACTATTCACTCTACGCTATGGACAAAGGGCCGGGTCTACCAACCCAAGGCATCAACAACATTTCATGCGCCAATCTTCTCATCACCTCCAAACTTCATGATCCTACTGACCATCACCGGGTTTATAATAGTATCTCATTGCCTGATAGACTCGAATGAGGACTGAAGAGATCCCGACGATAGTGCTAGGCAGCCAATTTCGACATCCATACTGTACAAGCAGCCGTTCACCGAGACGTTTCCAAAATGCCGCCGCAATTCAAGCCACCTACCCAGCGTACTTGTGAGACACCGCATTTCCTGAATCAGTAAGCCTAACCCAATCTTGAAGCACCAGCGCCCACCTCCCTGCAAGGGTATGTTTGGTCAATACAGGAATCTCCACATGTAGACGCAGGAAAGCCGGCAAGGTTGCAATACTGATAGCCTATGCTAGCGGCGGCGCTACTAGGGCTTTTTCTCTGTTCCATATAATGTAGAGCTCCGCGACGCTTGGAGGATAGGTAACTATAGCCTCAACTGACTCAGGTCTGTCTGCCACATTTGCAAGAATTCCTCTTCCTACCATGCCAAAATGCTAGATCACAACACAAACATCATAGCCAGCCGGGTATTTTCACTCTTTTGTTCATGACAGCGCTCGTGAATATTTTCTTCAGCTCCGCTCGGACACGCGAGACTCTCAGGGATGGTGGAATTTACCAATAGCTCCTGCAGCTGACCTCAAGAATTGCTCGCCCTGCTTTTGCTTTACTACTTGTTTGTAGTATGAAGAAACGCAAATTGTCATCTGCTCCTTCTACTTCGACAAATACAGCAGCCAGCCAAGATTTGATGACGAGACAGGACGCCATACAGGAACCAGTAGACTCCATACTACCGTATCTGCCATCTGAGAGAGATTATTCATTGCTACTCTTATTGCGCTGTCTTGCGTTCTACTGAGATGATTCGTGATTGGGTGATGGGCGGAGTTAAAGTGTTTAAAAGTCATGAGTGAGGTATCTTGCTCAAGCGTGCTCGGTTACCCCAGGGTCTACGAACTAGGAACGCTAAAGTCACAGCACTCAATGCTGGTTTTGGTTATGCCCAAGAGGCTCGACTCACAAAGATGTTTCTTTTGTACAACGCTGGGTTCCGTATCTTTCTGTACCCTAGTATCTGCAAAAAAGCGAACCGATGTAACGAGTAGCTGCTGCAGATGTTCAGCAAGACATGAGATTTTCAATGGCCGCAACATCAGCAGATTTGTCCTCCATCAAAGTTGAAGAAGGTGATATAGGAAGACACATTGACAGACCACACTGAAATCATACCATGGATAAGTTCGTACTGTATCGCATTTTCAGCGGTCGACACGTCTTCGCGTCGCCTGTTGATGTGTTGAAGGCTAGTGGCTTGGCAGGACATATATCTTCCACTACTGCGCGGCATCTTTCTTAGTCAATCAACATCAACATCGCCGTGCCACAAATCGCCCGGAACAACGCCCATCAGCTAAGTGATTCCCACACTGTGAGCTATCAAGGAAATGGCGTACGTCGCGCAGAACTCCGGAGCAGAAGGAAGCGGTTTCGAGTATCCACCCGTGCCCAACGCGTATCCCGATCCGTACTCGACTTTCGACACCATCAACGCGAACAATCTGCATCACGTGCCGGCTCTAAAGGACCGCGCCGAGCCCGAGCCATCTCACGACCATTCTCATGGATACCAAACGATGGCATTTTCCAACCGAGCACCGCCGAATCAGGTCTTCTATCCATATCCTGGATCTGAAGTCCCTCCGCTGAGAAGAATTGCTCCAGCCCCTTCGCCCACGTCATCTCTGGAAAATGGAGTTCCTTCATCTTCCGGATCCATGGATCCTGCTGCCTCATCTGCAGCCGGTACAAACATCAGCTTCGTTTCATACTCAACTAAGGACGGCTACAAGAAGAGGTCGCGCGGGACTACGGGAAGCATTGTCTGCGATAAATGTGGTTACAAGTTTACAGTTGCTTCTTCCTTGTCTCGACACAACAAGACTTGCCGTGGCAAGAAACGAGTTAATCATTCAACCTCAACACAACGCAAGACCATCAAGCCCAAGAATGTCAGCATGGCGTCAGTCCACATCATCGATGCCTTGCCAATTACCAAGCCCAGAGGTGCTTCTTCGGAAGAGCGAAGCCAGTTTGTGGAGTCCAAAGCCAACCTCCATGCCATGCCGTTCACCAGTACGGTAGTCGATTATGCGAATTCTGACAATGCAAGCTTGATTCCGGTCCCAAATACAACAGACCCTGATTCCCAGAAGCCATTTTTGATTCAGTCTTATGTTCCGCAAGGCCCGGACACGTCTGCGGATCACAAAACTTTCTTCTGCGACATCTGTCCCGGAACATTCGCACGTCGAGACATACTGCAAGTACACAAGGCCAGAATCCATGGCTTGACAGAGATTCCTTATATGCCAGAATCAGGAAACATTGATAGACCTCGGTATCTTACTGGTGTGACCTTCAATACAGCCAATAAACACTCACGTCTAGCATTCAAGACCTTCGAAGGCGGAGGACTATCAAGCAGCCCGTGCCAGCCTTGCACCTTGGATGGCCTAGAATGTATTGTCAACCCATTCTCTTCGTCGAAGTGTTCTTACTGCAATCACCGAGACAATGGCAGACCTTGTGGTGCCGCTGGTGTCAAGTATCTGTAAGTCATCAGAGACAATTATGGCATTTTTGTCTTCCTCCTGACCTCTGTTTAGTCAACCTCGAAGGACTGCCGATTATCAGAACTCATTCGTAGCAAACCAGCCAGACTTTCAGGCGGTATACGAAGAACAACTGACAGCAAAGATCACGGATCGGGCAGTGTACAGAATTTCGAATCTATTCATGTTTGACAACTGCTAACCACTGTAGCAGTGCCCCAATGCAAGACAACATTCTCTTGGATCCCAACACTTTCCCAAACGCCACTTCAGACGGATATGCACCAGTGCCATGCTGAATGGAATGGGAATGGCATGCGTCATTGATGTGGACTGAATGTTGTGGGGCAGGAAATCGTCTTTAACCACTTCTGAATGAGTCAATGATAAGAATGAATGGACGCTCCATTTTCCCAAGAGAAGTCATGTAATCAATGTGGCGTTCTAGCTGACTACCACGTCAATGTTCTCCTAATGCACTTGAGCTTATTGCTCTTTGCGAGAGCGCCTCATAGCAGAGTCTTCAAACGCTCTTTCCGCAATGCCCGCAAACGCAGACATTGTCGCTATCAAGTAGTAAACTGCTCTTTTTTCCGACGTAGGACCGACGGCTTCTCTGACGCTTTCGAAAAGGTTACGTTTATATCGTCGCGGAGAAAGGTCATGAAGGCCCTCACGCTGTGTTTTCTTAGCGTTTTCCGTAAAATGAAGTATTGAACCATGCGAGGTAATACACTTCCAGGACCTGGACATCGGGGTGACCGCCAGGCAAGTCTTTAGGAATGCCATTGACTGCCTCGTTGGTGGCAATCCCGGAACCAAACCTCTAATGTCTATCTAGCAATCGCAACAGATGCTGAACCTGTCCCTTTCTGTAAAGTTCCCAGTCCGAATGGTGAACCATCCGCCTCTACCACGAAGTTGCACTCTCGAAAAGAGCTTTGTTTGTACATATAGCTCGGGATCCTCGACAACACGTAGATCACGGCCTTGAGTTCCAAGGGGATGTTCGGTTCTTTCAGGAAAACTATACTGCTTGACCTCTAGAAGGGTGCCGGACTGAGAATCGAGTAGCGAGACTACTTGCGGGATAGCCTCTGCTCGAGGATACCCAGCTACAGCTACTAGGCCGGCGTGAATGGTTATGAAGACGCCGTACTTAGTAATGCGGGTCCCATCAAGATTAATAAAAACATCGAAGGATGGATCCGTTACTCGGCTGGAGTGTTGATAGCGATTGGGTTGACGAGCGAAAGATTGCCGTTATCATAAGACCGTGGTATTTACAAGGACGATGGCCCCAGCGTGTTGTAGCGTCTGATCCGGCTTGCAGTTGAGATGCTTCCCACAATCCCCGGCAGATGAGACCTTGTTCCACTGATATAGATATATCCAACCACTTCTGAGTGCCAAGCGAGATGAATCTTGACAGATGTAAAACTACGTTCCGCCATATGCTTGACCCCATTATACAGACCCCACATTGCGAAGCGAACTTCCACCTTTCCGCCGGGTCTGGTAGCCTGGGATAGGATAGTAACATCTGTGTAACCAGGCCAAGACCAAGTGCTTTGGTGAGTATGGTCCTCGAAGGGTATTGCGAAAGTCTAGCCAGTGTCTTGAGGCCGTTCATATAGGTGGATTTGTCGGAAGAGGTCCTCGCCTGTGTCCTCCACTAAGCCGGTAAAGTGCGGATCGATTTCAGGACTAGACTCCAACGTTGTGAGATTCCGGAGACTGAAGGAGCCATTCTGATTGGGAGAGAAATTGAGAGGTCGAAGGACTTGAGGTTTGAGTCCGGATAGAGGATCGTAAGAGAGGGTGTACCGTTGGTCGCTTGTTGTTCGAAAGCTGTCACGATGGCGTTCAGCTGGCAGTGTGCTGGCACGCCGACCGTGGGAGGTTGATTGTCTACGGCCCAGGGGTTAAAGAAAATGTTGACTACGATGCCGACGGGGTTGACGAGAGTCAGGGCTGGCTTGATTATTCTGTCGTCAAACTGGGCGGAGTATTAAAGAGAGCACTCTAGAAAATCTGATGAATGGGACATATAGCTTACGTCGATATCGTAGGTGATTGCTTTCGAGCTGGCCGATGAGGTTTTGGTCGAGGTGGATGATATTTTGGTGAAGACGGTCGTTGGTATTGTTGTTGTCTTCGGTATGCTAGTGGCGGTTTCGGACGAGCTGATCGAGGCCTTAAACTGAGTGGTGGACATACGAGTAGGGTTTGTGCTTGGAGCACCGGTCGTAAATTCAATCAGGGCTATGCATGACACCAAGAGGACTGTGGGGAACTTCGTTTTGCAGAGGAAAATCTTTGAGCAGGATTGTCGCGCTGTTACTCTTGAAAGTACGTGTTGGATGGGGAGTCCATTTTTTATAGCCATTTGGGTCCAGCAGAACGGAACGATACTAATTAGAAGACAGTATACTACAAAGTCATGACGCTGTGGACCTTGGTAGATGACGTTCAATAAGAGGTAAGGCTGCACTAACAAATATGAGAGGTTGAATCTCCACATGTCGGTCCTGGCGGTAGTTTCGTAAGAGTGGTGAAACAGCAGCACTTCCTACAGACCTCGATAGTGTCGGACATCATTTCCAGCCCATGATATGGTGAAGAAAGGAGGAGCTAAGCTCCACGTCAAAAACCACTAATTGTTTTGGTGTCAGCTCATGATGTTGCCTGGATTCCTAGTCTGGACTAAAATGGTCGAGTCCGGCATCTGCACCAGACCAGGCCTCCAGGCTAGATGTCTGAACCAATGGTGGTCTCGGTCGCGAAACCCTGAGCATCGCCGAGACCAAGGCGCCCGTTGGTTTGAATTTCAGTTTGAAGCCTCAGACTAGTCCAGACTGAAGCTATAGAGTCCGTAGTCTGTCCTGGGCCTTTGAAGTGTAATCTCACAATGACTCGCGGACCTTGAGACTAGAACAAGTTCAGATTAATGGTGCGCTATCCCGTTTCAAACCGCTGGACGCCTGTTACCAGTCCGAGATACTCGGCAGAGATCATTTCTCCGCGGAGTCGAGAAGATGGTACTGATCTAGAAACGCCGACAACAGAGGATGGAATTAGAGCTCATATGTGCTCGAAAACGGACCTTGTGATTGACTTATCCAATGCACGACTAGTACGTGCATTTGGTGAGATCGCTGTTAGGTTTCAGAGCACACTGCATGCTGCATCCCAGATACTCTTAGGCGCTTATTGCCCATGGCGGAAGGGGGAAGTCGCCGATTCCGATGATGATTCGTGGTGTGCTGCGCCTCAGCGGGGACGTATGTAGTGATCGAGATACCATGAGCACATAGCTCTAGATTGGATGAGATGGTCTTCTACTGATTTTTCTTCTTTCGTGTTCCAAGACATCAAGTTGCTTGAACAATTGTCGTTAGGCTTGTAAGGTTGAATATGGCAAGGGCGCGCGCGCTCCACCAGCTCTTTAATTTGATTCTGACGCGTATTGTCCTAACCCATTTCGTATCTACCCAGAGTTGCAACAACTACTCATAAAACCTCCCGAAGCATCCGAGTATAGAAAGTTGTAGACACGTTTGGTACAATGTTGGATTATACAAATGGTATATGCGGGTTACTCTTGTACTTGCCCTTCAGTGTACTTGCTAAAAAGAATTGCGAACCTCCCTTTCATGAGCACGAATCGAGGACTCACAATGAAGGGAACTTGACTTATCACATGAAATATATAATTATCGAAGTGCGACTGGCAGCTGGCTATTGGATATTCTGCGTAGTTCGTACTAGTGCAATTGCCAAGGCAGTCGCGGAAATTGGTGTTTTAGCGTGTGCAGAAAACGTTGGAATACTTGGCACTGAGATTATCACACACACACCACCAAAAGTAGTACTAAATAGATGAATCTTCTCCCATATCGCATTCTACCACCTTTTTTATTATATTTAAAGCTTCTATATATCTCGTTTAATTAATTTCTATTATTTCGAAATACCTCTTATAACGATTAAGTATAGTACTATAGAAGACTATATCTTTAAAATAGATATAAGAGAGTTAAATAAAGCTCTTAATAAGTGCGATATTTAGAGAGATTTTAAAGACTAAACTATATTTACTATTATTACTATTACTTTAGAGTTATTAAGACTTTCATCTATCGCTATTAAAGCTTAAATATCTTTAAATCTATTTTAAAGCCTCTAATTAAAGTATTAAAAACTCTTAATTATATAGTAATACGATATATAGTAGATATAGAATTCTTTATTACTTTCAGATACTTAATTATCTGTATATTTATATCATCGATAGTAAGAGAGAAAACCTCTGACTACGTCGATTAGGAGGTATTTCGAAATACTAAGGCAAAATACTAAGGATCGGCTAAGCGAGATATATAGAAGCTTTAAATATAATGAGGAAGGTGGTAGAATGCGATATGGGAGAAGATTCATCTATTCAGTATTACTTTTGGTGGTGTGTGTGTGATAATCTCAGTGCCAAGTATTCCAACGTTTTCTGCACACGCTAATTTCCGTTGCCGAGGTTTCGGCACTCAGCAGAACATGTAACCTCAAGGTCGCTCCTACGGCGTGCAGAGACGAGCGCTTCCTACGCTGCACGCACAACTCTGACTGCAAGGGCAAAGGCCGGGTAACAATACCCTGGCAGCCTACAAAAACGCTGCCACAAACGCCAGCACTGTCTCTCCTCCCGCCATCGCAGGCGGTGTGTTCATCGATACGACCAACAATTCTATTTCAACCTCGTCAACGTCATCTACCATCAGTCCCACATCTTCAACAATGGCGTAGGCGGAGTAAATGTGAGTTGTAAGATACCTGGCGTCGTTACCCAACGCCTCCCTGCTGGCGGATTTAATTGCAACATTCAATGTCAACCCCGATTTTCCTCTCGCGTCATGTTCAGACCAAGGCCCGTGATTAATATCGTTCATTACTAGCCAGAATTTCGAAATTCCAAGCGGAACGGTCTACTGTTGTTCCACATCTGCAGAACATGACATCTACGAGAAAGGAAAGGTCCCGAGCAAAGATCGCCTCACGAGAAATAAGCCGGGCAAAACATTCATATTGGTAATCAACCAGAAAAACAACTCTCTCCTCAGCATTTGGAAAGTTGTGACTTATAACAGCAAAAAAGAACCTAGTCTTCGTTAGTTTAGGCAGCGGCACCTTTAAGTGTCTCTGTCGCCGGGTCGCCCTGACGAGAAAATGTCTTTAACCTCTCAATTCTGCAAAATTAGAGGACTTATGATGAACATTTGCTGCACCTTCATCTACAATTAAGACCGCTCGCATGATCTGGCATGAATAACAAAAGTAAACCCCCCTAAACTTAGGAGCCTAGCCGACAGTCCTTACTCGTATCAAACTCAACCCGCTCAATAACACCCACAGCATCCGATAACGCCACATTTGGCGGCCCCCCAGACCCACGTGCCATGACCCTCGAACTTCCACCAACCCTCACCACCTCACTATTGTTCAAACGCTTCGTGCACACTCCCCCTCTCACCAGCAAATCCCCCGCCTTCCTCTGCTCAACCTCGATCGTATCAAACTGATGCAACATATCACGCCACTTAGGCTCGACGACGCCGAATCCACCGGGAACGTTCAAATCGTAAGCCGCCACGACGGTGTTCTGCGCGAGGTCTTCATATATGTTACTCTGCGAATACGGATCCGGCACGTGGGAGTCCTTTGCGTATTCCGCGTGCCAATGTTTGGAGGTAGAGAGGGGATTGTCAGGGTAAGCGCCGAGAAGGTCGAGGGAGTGGCCGGTTTCGTGGATGAAGAGGGTCAGGTCGCGGTTGATGCTTTCGAACATTGCAATGTTGCCGGCCCAGTTGTAGGCGCTAGTAAAGTTGGTGGCTGCGAGATGAGTTAGCTTAGCCAGATACAAAGAGCATTTTGGGGGGGAAGGTTTACGATCAGGTAGGTTGACTATGTGGCGGACCCACTGACGCGCTCGCACTGGGACGCGGCCGAAGAGGTCGATCAAATTTTCGAGAGGATCGGGGCTGTCTATGTGCCGGCACAGAAGCCAAGGATCGTTGGGACACTGTCACCATTAATAAACTGATTGCTGATCTCGGAGAACGCGAACGTTGACACTGGTACCTACATCTTCGTATTGAACGCTGAAAGTCTCCACGTGAGCCACAGACAGGTTGGCGTTCACCGTCATGGTCTTGCAGTCGGAAGGGATCCAGCCAGGGGTCCATTTTTTGTATGAGCTCTTCACTGGGCCCAAATACTCCAGAAGTCCCTTCTGAAGATAGTCCAAACCGGTCTCAAGCGGAGGTTTGTCAAGACGTTGCGTCAGCGCCAGCGTAACCAGAGAGCCCGCCAACCCGATGAACGTGGCACGCATATCCTCTTTTGGAGAAGGAACGGATCCCGACTGACGGCGGAGATTTGTAGTAGAGAAAGAGCGGACCGAGTTGAGCGGCTAGAGGAACACAATGGATCATGTGCGAGACGAGGGAGAAAAGAAATGCTGAATCCAAGTAAAGCAGGATGGATGGAGAGCTTTATCCGGGGACAGCGCAAGCGCGCTTTCCTTTCACACCGTGTAGCAGGATTAGGAACCACTAACGGCGAAGGGTGCTCAAACGTGGCCTCGAACAAGCCTGCCAATCATTCCCAATAACACTCCATCGTTCTATACACTTTGAGTATCACAATTGGAGATTGCAGTCCGACACATACTGAAACCATCGACGGGCAGTACAAGAGGCACTGAAAAGCGCAGCTTGATCAAAGCTTGCCTACCATTGCAATTGACACTCCATGGTCGGACACACTCCGAGTATAACAGCCGAGGCTACAGTCCAACACGTACTGATACCATCAATGCGCAGTCTCCGTCGCAAGTTCAGCAATTCGGAGGTGGCTGGGTTGTCAAGGCAACTTCGAAACTGAGAAGTCTGCGTACCTGCAGTGGAAACCAGTGGCTGTGGTAGCGTGTGGTCACGGAGACAGTTTTAAGTTATCTTAAAATAATGTTACTCCAGCCAGTTGACATTGGAGAATTTTTTCAGTCTGTCTCGCCCTACCATCAACTTGTCTCGTTTGCTCTGCTTTGCGCAAGGGGGCTGCACTCCCGAGCGTCGGCCCGTGAGAAGACCATGGGCAAATGGTGATCTGATTGTAGTCGGAGTCCAATAAGAATGTCTAGGCCACCATCTCAATAGCCGAATTCCCTTGCCAGCTCAAGCCAGTGAGACATACCAGGCATCAAACGTGTGTGGGATGACTTTGGTATAAATAGCTGAAATGAGGAGGCGCCGGCGGCCGCAGGTGGCGAAAGTAAACGATTCGACATCAACCGCGCGTTTCTTTTCTGGTGACACTTCAAAACCAAACAGGTTTTAAGCTGTATGAAGCAACATGAAACTCGCCCAGTCAAATGCTGAAACGTGTCGTTTGAGATCACCAAATTACACCTTTTGTTCTGACATAGCTTCTTAAATACGTTTAGCGCAGGATGCGAAGACTGCTGACATTGGTAAAGGCACAGGATACAGGAGGAAAACCGCAAAGGACCACAAGCGCTATGCGATGTCTCAGTAGATTCAACTATGAGCTTAAGCCTTGCCTCCACAACTTTGAGCGACAAAGTTGCAATCATCGTAGACTAGATGCCCGACAGCTTCTTCCCGATCACAAGAGCGTCTTTCTGAGGTCCCTCAGAGTACTCCTGACTGCACCACCAGCTCCTTTTGTTCCATTTGCGCGTCCGCGCTCTAAATTTGGTGGAACTTGCACATCATCCCACCAATGCGGAAACTCACCTTTGCCTCCCTGACCACTCTCCTGATCCTCGTTCGCCTTCCAGACATAAAAGAACCTGTTGGCGAGGACCCCCCAGAATGGCGAGCCATGAGGCAGCCTACCGGCAGCGGCATCTATCCAATCTAAGAGCACTCTTGAGATCACCTTACTCTGGGCGCCCGGTTCGTAGTCAGTGAGCCGTTCGTTTGAATACACCATGGCCGTAATGAAGGTCGTTCCCGTTGCTATCTCGGTCAGTGTGAGATTATGAGGGAGCGGCGCGGGACAAATTACGTATGTCTAGACTTTCTGGGAACCTAGTGCCCGGCTGCACTATCCAGTCGAGGGTCTGCCGAATAGACAAAGTCCCAACACCTCCCCATGGTGTCTGTTGTGATTCTTCTCTGGCTCCAACACACTCCTCGATAATCCGTCCCACCATATCGCGCATAGTATTGCCGGAAATGTAGACCGCAAAGTTAACCTCTTCCGTGGGTTTTCCCGATGCAGACACTTTGATGCGACACTTTTCTACGAGAATGATCTCTATCAGTATCTGGGTCTTCAAGTCAATTACAACGGACCTTCACTAACCATCGCCTCTTTTAATTGGAAGTTGCGATTGGAATTTCCCTGCGGGACTCGACTCGGGATTGGTAAACCATGGGGACTGGTTGCTGCCACGAGGTAAGAGATCCCAAGTACTTCGACATTTATCCCCGTCGAGCAGGCGCTCTCCCGAGAAGAAACTGGAGCAGCGGACAACATCAGGAGCAATTGGAGCTGGGAAAACGGAAAGACCTCCATTATACGCTGACGCGTTGGTTGCAAGTGAGAAGTTTGATGGTAGTAAGACCGACATGTTGTAGTAGTTTGGTGGACCGATCAGAGCTATGACCATCGTCATGTGCAAACTTGGTCTACCAAATGGAACAGCTGAAGACATGCGCTTAACAGTAGGGTGTCGGCAAGCGGCTTGAAGCGGGCATCTAGTCGTTTGTCGCTTGTTTCTGAAACCTTCAGTAGCGGCGCGATCTGACTCAATACATGCCAAGGACTTGGTCCTGTCATCCTCGAGCGTTATTGCCCACTTGACTCCTTGAGTTTCTGTGTCCAAATGTAAGTAATTGCACTGCCTCAAGTAAACTGCTTATCGGTCAAGCTAAAGCGTCTCCTTTCCAACATGTGAACAAGGTACAGGCCCATACAAGTGTAGGTATTCACACACTTGATGATATACAGTGTTCATACGTTGAAACATAGGTTTGGATCTAGGTCGAGTTGTGCGACCTCAGGGCATGGATTTGGGGTCTTACGGAAAAAAAATTAACTCGCATCGTATCGTTCTTCGTTCGCCATGAGGGATGCACAAAAGACATACCTTAATCGACAAGTGGCCACCGTTTGAACGTTAATAATTTATCTCGCTAGGCTGGCAGGTGGTGCTGCTGGTTACCGATAATAGCACCAGTGGCTTGATAACAGCAAAATGTCTTTCCTTTTTTACTCTTAGCCCTTTGTTTCTTGCAAACCTATTTCATCCGAAGTTCTCCCTTGCTTTTATCCACCCGACGTATATCTTTGCAAGTAGTGTTCGTCGAAACGGAGAAACCAGCCCGACAGAGAATGTCTGCCATGAACGGCGAATCTGGCCCTAGTCAGCCCAGAAGGAAGGCTGGAACCCCAACTTGAGTCTAGTGTTCAAGTGACTTGTCATGACTCGCCGCAAAACCTAAGATTACAGACTGACAAGGACTCACTAGGGTACTATTGACGATGATGCTCGTCACACATGATACATTGGATCACTGTGTCACACTGCGGTTGCCAAGATGCTGCAAAACATGTACGAGCTCGATTACCAAGCAGATGGCCAGATTGGAACAGCACCGGATCTTTCCACTCATGCCATAGTCTGGGATGTAGCGCAAGATCTTTACATCAAGGGCTTGAAAATTGAAGCCGCAGACGAATTCATATTGGGTCTCTCAAAATCCAATATATACTATAGGGAGACTTGCTTCACCTTGCCGTACTTCAAAAAACTCGTGACGAATTAGGGGAAATCCTGGGACGCGACATCCGATTCCATCAGCTTCCTCCGCAACCAAGTGTTGACGTAGATCCAGCAGAACATCCAGGAGGGGCTGAAGGAGAGGGTTCTCAATCCCGTGTCCTGGAGGCTACCTACCGCCTCATCTTCCGAGAAATCCCCCCAAAATCCGGACTTTTACGCGCTATTGAAGACCGAGCGAAGTACATGGAGCACCTCGACACGGTGAGTGGAGCCTAATCATTGTTTCGCACCTGTAACCCAGAAGTAATGCCTTCGATCATAGCTACTCAATAATACTTTTTTACAATCATTGGGGAAGGACATTGAAGCTTTAGTCAGCAACAGGGACCAAGTAGATGGGTTCATATTTGAGAAGATCATAGAGCACTTCTGGGTTGACTGAGGATGGAAATATGTTGGCTCATCAAACCAAAAGTACAGGGCAACGTGGAAACTACTGAAGCATGTGAGCTTTCCAGTAATGCTAAGTGAAGCAACAACCCATCATTTCCACCGAAAAATCCAAATACTATGTGATTGTCCCACTTATGAAAAGCACACACGGCACACAGAAACAAAGCACACATAGAATATGAACAAACGATTAGGCCGTCTCAACGCCAAGAATTACAGGTCTGAATAGAGGCCTGATAAGACGTCGTATTCCTGAAAACATCAACGTCATATACACAAAAAGGGGCCACACAGGATGTAAATAAATGATTGGGCCGTCTCACGTCGCGAATAGCAAGCCTATATAGAGGCCTGAACAGGCATCTTCTCGTACTCCAGCGTAAAAGAACTCCGGTGCCTATGGCAAAAACCTGGAGCGAGATGTCTATATGCAGGCGTGAGCGGGCGGGACAATGGTATACAATGGCTTTGGAAGAGTCGAATTCGAATGAGAAGCCATCTGCCGATAGAGATACGATATGTGTATAGCTCGCACTGAACGCGTATCTCCTGCTTTAAACACGGTGTATAAGCTGCTAAAACGGTACAGATTCTCAAAGGCTAGAAGAGCAACATGGTATTGTTCGTCAAAACGCCCATGAGAGCTGGGTCACCTCCGCCTAATCTGCTGTACCTTACTCACAATCCAGATCAATGATCTCAGGCCCAACATGCCCCGCTACCTTGTTCGCCCCTGTCTCAACCGCACCACTTGTTCCCTTCCCCTGCGCCAGATTGCCAAAAGGGCGTCTCTCACCGCTCTCTTCCCTACCATCCTGCATGATACCTCCGAACCCCACAACATCCTCCCATCCCTCCCCCAGCAACCCTCTCAACTTTTCAATTCCGATCTCCTCAACAGTCTTCCATGCAACCTCACATCTCTGCTTCCATTCCTTCATCGCATTCTCCCACTCCAACCCCGTCTTTTTCACAACGAGAGTGTATGGCGTCCGACGCTTTATGGTTTCCGTGCTGCAATAACTTTGTCTCAAGCGCTCTTCTATGTGATCGCGACGCTTGCCATTGAGCGAGAAGTGCACTTGGGCCCTTTGTTGATTATTAAGAAAGGCGTCGAGTTTTACACAGTCATCGCAATAGAGGCTACAGCCACGAGGTTGGCGCTCCAAGCCTGTAGGCTTTTGGGGGGCGGGTTGGACGTAGGTGTTGATGTAGGACGAGAGAACTGTGCGAAAGAGACGCCTATAGCTGTGAGGGTTTGCGATCTTGGATGCTCGTTCGACGGGCGGCGGAAGCTGTTTAATTAGTGGTAGAAGAACACGCTCGAAAGTCACGGTATTCGCGTTGGGAGCGTGCGAGATAATTTTCTCGGCGAGCTGATCGATTTCACGAGAGAGACCCAGCTTTTCACAGCTGTGGAATAGACTCGCCAGTTTCTCTGCGGTCATGGCTCTCGGGCTTTGGTCTTCCGCGGCCTGAGATACGTGCCCATTGTAATCGAAGCGCCTTCGTTTAGCGTACTCATTCAGCAGCTGTTCGTGTCCAACTTCTCGGTACTGAATTTGGAGGTCTGAAATCACATCGCCAAGAATGTCTTGGAAGAGGTTCTGGACGATCTCAAGGCGAAGCTTATCGGCCTCGCTGGCTCGAAAAAGCCCTGTTAGGAATGCAACAATGAATTCTATATCAGAGGTGTGTTTCTTGACCAGTGGAAGGACCACTTGAAACGTGTACTTTTCGCCATACTCTGTAGAGAATTGTATCAGGGTCTGAGCATCAGCCGCCGTCACGACGATCGTCTCACTCTCTGTCGCCGTCATGCTCATGGCCATTTCACGCTCAATGTCCTGCATGTTGTGCATAGTAGCAGCAGTGCTCCCCGTAGCCCCTCGGTAGCTGCTGATGAACAGCTCCACGGCCCTCATACGTTCGGAGATGTTGGGAATGCGGAGTATCGCCATTTTTATTCTTGCGGGAAGTTAGCAAAGTACCAGAGGATGTGATATTTATTTACCCATTCTGCCAAAGGCTTACATCACGATCAGTGAGACCTTTACCCAGCTTCGGAAAGAGGTCGATAGGCAGCATTCGCGATGCCACCCTCGCGACCTCTTCTAGTAGATCTGGCCTATTGAGCCTCAAAGTAGCCTCACCAACGAAAGCCAGCTCCTCGTCAGAAACACGTGAGAGACCCTTGATTTCGGATTCTTCCTTACGCCAACTGAAGCTGTAGGAATCCTCCACAGATCCTTTTCGCGGCTTTTGCGGCGTCTTCTTCGCATCGATAACCATCTCACAGAACTTCTTCAGTTCCTCTCGTGACGCAATGGACAACGCCTCATCTTGCATCTCACTTAGAAGCGTGGCTATATACTCTCTAACATTGATTTCCCTAGCAACTGACACAAAGTTAAGACGGCGAGTCCTGGGAAGTATCACAGCGCAAGTCCTGTGATAGAAATGCGTGGCAGTGCATCCCTCATTGCCAGTCAAGCCATCACATTCCTCCTCATCCGGTTCAATACCCGTGAAGTCGGCATTCTCGAGGATTTCTTCTTCTTCCAAATCGATATCCTCTGCTAATTGCTGGCCATCAGACTGGAAGACAGTCAGGAGTTTCCAATTTGATTCAAGTTCATTGAGAAATTCATGATAGTCCGCATCGTTTAGGTGATCTGCCCAATCGGGATCATCCTCGTTTTCGTCGACAGTTCCAGACTGACTGTACTCAAACTGCGCGAAGAAGAGACAGAAGCCTTGATCTTGACAAGCTTCCGACAAGTAGCGGGTTCGAAGTTGATCTTTTCCTTTGAGATGGTCGAGACAGATGTTGGCTTCGGAGTACTCATGCTCGAGTATGTACACCATCTTTTCGTAGACATAGTCAGAATGAGACTTGATCTCGCGATCTTGCTTGCTCCAAAGTGCCAAGACCTTGTCCAGGTTCTGCTTGTGATCGCTCAAGATTGAAGCTACTCGGCTCGAACCGGATGCTTGGTGTATCAAGTTGTACGTCAAGACGAGTCGATACCCAGACTCTACTTTCGACACAGAGTGATTCACGTCAGCGTACCAGGCAAGGTAAGCGCAGCCAAAATCACACAGACCCTGCGTTTCAAGGGTCTGCTCCTCGTCTCTGAGTTGAACAATGACACGGCCACCAGTATGCTCAGAAGGTAGTGCGATCACAAGAGTGGCGAACATCCCTGGGGCTTTTTCGGTACTGCTAGTGCTCAGTATAATCACAGATGTTGACAGGGTTGGCAGCATACTCTCTGTGTTTGTTGAAGAACGCACCTGGTTCATACAGCAGCAACTTGTGCAACTCAGCACGAATACTGGAAGCGCCATCAACGACGCCAAGTTCCTGAGCGACTTTCCCAACAACCTCG